TTCCTTCTTTCTCTCTCATCCTTCTTCTCCTTCCTGCTCTCTCCATCCTGCTCCTTCATCCTTCCCTTTCCTTTTCTCTCTCTCTCTCTCTCATCCTTCTCTTCTCCCTCCATCATCCTGCTCCCATCGCATCCTCCTTAGGGGGGCCATGAAGGAGGAAGAGGACGACGACGGCGAGGACGGGGTCGAAGGCTAGCTTAGACGACTCGTCCTGGAGCCTCTTGGAGACTGAGCCTGGGTGAGATTGAGCGTGAGAGAGTGTGAGCATGAGTATGTGTACGAGAGGAAGGAGTAATGGAATCTCTTGAATGCAGTCAACCCGCATAGTAAGGATGGGCAACCTTCCCAAGGGTACCCTTGTATCCTTGCCTCCTCGGTCCATCCTTCGCCACTTCCGTTGGCCGCGACGCGCTCAAAAAGCTTCGAAATGGGCGTCTAAGGCCCTTGCATCCTTACCGCGCATCTTTACTATACGAGCTGGCTGTAGTAAAGGGTCCCCGCCACCTCCCCAGTCCTCTCCTAGGGCGGGGAACGGCGCTCCCGCCGGCGAAATATGCCTTCTTCCCCCAGGGGATTGTCGTCGTCGATCGCCGTGGTCGGCTCGCCGTCGCCCAATTATTCGCCCGACGTCGCCGGCGATCTTAGGCCACCGAATCATGTTCATTCCTCGGTCCAAGGATGTTCTACTGTTATTGAGCTTAGACCCGAGGGAGGCCCACCGCAAAGTTTGAATGATTATCTGGGACATGGTAAGACGAGGCCGTATGGGAACACCGATGAACAGGGGGAAATGTCTGTCGTGTACCGTGCATGGTGCGATCCGTATAGGACGCATTGTGCAACATATAGGGTTCAGTCAACCCGCATAGTAAGGATGGGCAATTTTCCCAAGGGTACCCTTGCGTCCTTGCCCCCTCGGTCCATCCTTAGCGACTTTCGCTGGCCAGCCTCGTTCGGAAAACGTTCACACGGGCCTTCAAGGCCTTGCATCCTTGCCGCGCGTCCTTGTGATACGGGTCGACTGTACACGTTACGGGTCCAATCCATGGTGTTCATGTCTAGAGGTGGACTTTCCAGCGTAAGTGGCAGGGGGAACGAGTAGTCAATGGGGTGCATTATACTGGGTGCGTCTTCAGCGCAACCCACGGGGAGCAACCTACGGGGTGCAGTTCATATGGTTTAGCCTGTGGACTGCAACACCTGGTTTGAAACGTGTGGTGTTCTGTCTGAGACCCTGTGGGTTGGGCCAGCTGGTACCTTTTGCTCGAAGTGGGGCAGCTCTCGTCTGCGTGCAGAGGCGCGCAAGTGCACGCACCGCCTCTCCGCGGTGGAGATCACCCCAGACAGACAAGCTATGGGGCGCAGCCGCGCGCGGGTGCGCGAAGATCATCGCGCTCCGCAACACCGCAGTCTGGGCCAGAGCGGTTGCCCGATCTTCCTCGTGGGCGGCGCGGGGGAGGAAGTGCACGAGGAGAATTCGGCGCCGCGCCTCGGGGGGCGCGGTTCGCGAAGTCAGGTGGCCTGGGAGGCCGAGACGGAGCGGGCAGAGCGCGAGGGGGCAATCGTCAGGAGGGGAAAAAACAGACAGACACAATTAATCGTCGACTCCCCAGAAAGTATGGGAAAATATGGGAAGTGGTGGGGGGGACAGAAGCCCAGAAAATGTAGGAAAATATGGGAAACATTTTTAGTTGTGTGTATTTCTTTGCGTGTCCTGGGGGCCCTTCAAATCGGGGAGGGAAAGGGGGGAGAGAGGGGCGCCGGGCCGGGGGGCGGCGGGGCGCCGCAGCACGTACGTGCCAGTCGCTGCGCTGCGGGGCTCGGTCACGCGGGCACGCACGCACGCGCGCACGCACGCACGCACGCACGCACGCACGCGCGCACGCACACATACACACACATGCGCACATACCCACCCACACACACACAAACACGACACACGCACATACACACACACGCACACACACACACACACACGCATGCACAGACACCCACACACACATGCGCACACACACCCACCCACCCGCCCACACACACACACAAACACACACACACACAAACACGACACACGCACACACATACACACATACACACACACACGCGCGCACACACCCGCACACACGCACACACCCACACCCCACGACCCAACCCACACCACACCCACACCCACACCACACCCACACCCCACACGACACCACACCCACCAACCCCACACCACACCCACACCACACCCACACCCACACCCACACCACACCCACACCTACACCACACCCACACCCACCCACACCACACCACACCCACACCACACCCACACCCACACCCACACCACCCCCACTCCCTACATCCACACCACACCCACACCCACACCCACACCCAACCCGCACCCGCTACCCACACCCACACCCCCACACCCACACCCACACCACACCCAACACCACACCCGCACCCGCACCCGCACCCGCACCCGCACCGCAACCAGCACGCACCAGCACCCGCACCC